GTTCAAATCCCAGCCTCGGCACCACCTGTCTGGAGTTTGCATGTTCTCCCTGTGCCTTCGTGGGTTTCCTCCGGGTACTCCGGTTTGCTACCACACTCCAAAGACATGCTGGTAGGTGAATTGGATCCTGTCTAAATTGGCCCTAGTATGTGTATGAATGTAAGCTAGGGACCTTAGATTGTATGTCCCTTGAGGGTTAGGAACTGATGTGAATGTACAATATATATATATGTGTGTAAACCATTGCATAAATGGATGGTGCTATATAAGTACCTGAAATAAATAAATAATACTGTATAGGTGAGCTGCTTGATGTCCAGGGCTCTCTTTCTCCTTTATATATGTAAGCTAACTGGTACTGAGGTCTCTCTTTCCCTTAGATATATGAGCAATCCTTGGGTCTTTCTTTTTTCTTTGTATATGTCAGCTGAGTGATGTCCAGTACTCCATCTCTCTCGTATATGTGAGCTGACTAATGCTCGGGGCTCTCTCTTGCTCTCTGTCTCTCTGAAATAGAACTATAGGCAAACCATTTTTTTTTTCATAAGCTAGGTCAGTTTTTTTTTTTGCCATCTATGTCCCATTGGAGAGACATACCTTCACATCCTTTCCCATAACCAAAATAGAAAGCGAGAGGGAATCCATGCTAATTAAGGGAATCCATTGGGGTCCCCAAGGTCACCAGAAATAGTGTCCCCATTAGAAGATTTTCCCTCAGTATCTGTTGACCCTTACAATTTGGTGGAAGATACAAGCAGCAGTTTAGAGAAAATAAACCCGTATTGTTGCAATAATATTAATATGCTTGTAAAACAACTTCCGTAGGTAAATAGTAGCCAACAGCAGCCTAATCAGCTACTGCAAGAGGTTAACCACCCAGCAGATGCAACAGCTGACTAAAGCTCATCCAGGCCTCCTTAAAGGGATAACAGCAAGTGAACCTGTTTCTACAGCAGCATATACAGGACCATATGTCAGAAATACAGATGATGTCACAGGGGCCAACATTTGCACTTCAACAACTGGTGCAGAGTGCATTATTCAAAATTCTTCTGAAGATGATCTGGAAGCCTACCTTGGGAAAAGCTCTGTAGGTGGATGTGCAAGCATGCTTAGGTTAGGCCTAAAGGGCCTGCTTTGATCTGCAGCCCCAGAATGCTAAGGAGTATCCTTAGCTCACAGCAGAAATTCTGGCCAGGCTCGGGAGAGAGAGTACCGTGTGTTCTCATCTGAATATAATTCTGAAACCAAATATACCATGTTAACCTAATAAAACCCCCAATAAAATACTGTTGGATCTGGAGGTTCCCCCAGCAGAAAGTATCCATCAATTATCTTTAAGACTCCACAATAATTTATCATATGTAAGGTCAGCTTATGTGACATATTGGGAAAGTAAAATATTTATGGGTATAGTTAAAAAAAAAAATAGTAAATGCATTGTTTTCCTAAAATACAGCAATAAATATACACCACAGTACAATTGAGGTTTAAATCACAGTGTTGGATCTGAACTGAAAAGTAGCAATATTCTAGTCACTAAGGGACAATGAATCTGAATATATATAATAAATGTCCCTGATCGCTGCTATAGATAGGAATGCAAATGATAAGATCTCAGAGCCATTATTATTTCTAGAACATTATGCTGCAAGCAGTGAGAATGGAGCAGATGGCAAAGTGTTGAAAATTCAGGCGCTATATGTACATAATGTACATACATTAACCCCGTCCAATAATGAGAACCTATGTCATGGAGCATATCAATGCTCTGCATTTATGTACAAGAATGTATCCATCTTCACCACTTCTCATTCTCATTGCTGTTCAGGTCAAGCCCTCGTCCTTCCATAAATATGAAATTTCTGCCAGAATAAAAAATGATCTCAAACTAGTGTCATTTAAAGGAAAACTCCAATTAAAAACTCATTCTGTGTAATCGCCCTCCTACATTTTCCAAAAGCATTTTGTTTTAGGATTAATGAGATTTTGTAAAGACCTTCTGCTTTTTCTCATATGTCACAGCCCCACATTGTTTCTGTCCTTTTATAAGTGTCCCAATCTGACTTTAGGGTCTATTCACTATTGCATAACCCATGCAGTATTTAATTCATCATAAATAGCAGACTCTGGCACTGGTGTCCCATGAAATCTTTGGACAACTGTGTCAAAATTAGATAGGGATGTGTTTTGTGTTTGCAGCAAAAATTTGCACAGTTCACAAATCAGGAACTTTTGGTCATGAAATTGCAGGTTCACCTCCAGACATAGGGAACAGCCTTTGCTCCAAGTTAGGTAAGTCACAAGACCTAATAAGTTGAAGAAATGGATAATCCTTTCACCTTTCTAAGGGTGAGCTCACAACATAGACAGTGTTTGCTGGAATTTTTAGGGAGAGCTGACAATTCTGGGTGAGATGGGTTTTTTTGTGTTCTTTTTTGTATTTTTTAATTTTGGCTTTGTGCTACATGTTCGCCATGTCAGGGCCTGGCTTCCATTTCTTTTGTTTGACAATTGCATGCCTATTATCCCTACAAGTGGCCAGGACCAAATAACAAGATTCACCCCCAATAAGCTTCAACATGGTTCACTGAAAAGTTTGTGAATTTTGCACTTCAAGAACAATCTGCTAAAACTGTTTATGAACAAAACACAGGCAGGTAACTTCATTCCTAAAATTAAGACTAGTACCCACAGGGGAGGCAGTATATAACAAGAGCAAGATATCCTTTTCATAGTTTTATGTATGGTACTCTGGAAAAAACATTGCATGTCTTTAAATATTTTTAAAGGTCATGTAGCCAGCTGCTGGCTATTTCATTATGCAATTCAGGGACAATTACTGATGACACTAATCCTTTTTCCCCCTAGTGCCCAGTACTGGGACAGATACATCACTTCCAGCAGAGGATCCTGGGACCTGTAGTCCTATAGCCAATACATACTGTATTCCTGAGTGCTGATTGAACTACACATACCAGAGAGCTGGGGAACAAGGAGGATGTTGGGAAAGCAGATATATTTTACAGCAAGGGACAGGCTCTCTCTCTTTTGGTGTGGGATTTAGAGCTGGACACAGGGGAACTGCCGTTCTTTCACAGAAACAAATTGCGGGCCGACATCAGTTCAGCACAGTTCACATCTGTCTTCTCTGCACTGGGGCTGTCACTGCAAAAAGTCAAGAGCCTGTGCAAGAACTCTTGTTCCTAGGAGGCTGTGTCATCCATAGGATTGGTGAGCAGGTGGATGCCCAACCTCTGTCATTACTCTAGAGACACAACAAGCAGACCTTTACAGCTCATTTACCAGGAGACCTTTGCTTTGAGCATTTACCACAGCCTATCTGTTTAACTTCATTGAAATACCGGTATTCACTAATGTTTATGGGCCCCACCATTGCTAGCAGAAGATGACGGATACCACCATACCAGGAACTTTTAACATCACAGGACTCAAGCTGCAATCTCTAGTTAAAGGGACCTCTTCCTTTCTAAGGCCATTGTTACTCAAACTTGGGAAACTACATATATTTATGCTGGACTATACATTTACCTAATTCTCTGCATACCCCATGTAACACCAGTGGCCCAGAGGAAGTTAATACGTCAACAAGCCTTATTCCCCCTCTTATTGCTAGTGTTGCAATTGAATAGCTGAAGCTTACTTCTCATGTATAATCTTTTAAACATTGCTAATTGGTTGTTTTTCTTGTACCAGTGTTCTGCTTTTATGCGTTAACTGGGGTTATGCACCCTAAACCCACTATTCTGTTGGTCTACTCTTTTGAACAAGTTTAATATAAAGGTGTTGCTAAAGAATTGCGTATTTTGCATTAATATTCTCTACTATTGAAATAAGTCTTAACCCAGAGTGTCAGGAGGCTTGCAAGGTCAGGGCAACCACTGGGGACAAGCATCATCGAGCAGCTCCTATGGGGGTAGCACTACAGTTACATACAATGAAATGCTTTTATATCACCAGTATCACACATGTGTAAAATTTCTATTAGAAACAATTCAGAAACTAAAATAAAACAAAAGAAAATGTGCTTTGTTACAGCAAGCTGCATTCTAGATTCAGTTTTGTTTCATACATTAAGCAGGATGTCATCATGGCAATATTACATACATTATATGTGACATGAAATAAAAAAGGTTTTAATGTGTTTTTGTATAAGCATGATATAATTAGATCAACAATGAGTGCTAAATGATACATTAAACATGGAAACATAACATCATAATTATTGATGAGAGTAGACATAATGTAAGGAAGGAATAACACCAAAACACATTGGAATAGTTTTATTTGCTAAACCAACATAAAATACAGTATATACACTAAACAAACATGAATTCACATTTAACTGCCAGCAGTATTGCACTGGCTCACATCAGTGCCCATGATACCAGATTTTTTCATAACTAAAGCAAACAGATTGATGAGAAATGTTAAGCTCACATAGTTATAAACAACATGACTTCTGGTTAACAAAGATCAAGTGCAGACCCTTTTTATCAGAACCGTTGGTCAAGCTTACACATGAAACATTTATGCAAACGTTAAGGCAACTATAATCCAATCAAGTGGTTATAACATCCCCAACGCTCAAATTGGTTAAAGTGATTGTATAGACAAAAGTATTTTTTTTACCTTAACCTCCCTGGCGGTATTCCCGAGTGTAGCTCGGGGTAAAGTTTCAGTACCAAAAGCGGTAACCCCGAGCTACACTCGGGCTTCCCATGCGGCGTTGCTCAGGGATTCCCTGCTTACCTTGTCCTTCGCTCCCACGATGTGTCCCCTGCAGTGTCCCCGGCCATCTCCTCCGGCCAATGCCGGCATCTGGCTTCCGTGTTCCGGTCCCTACGAGCGTCGGGACGTACGGGGGCCGGAATGGTGGCCAATTTAAACATTTTTAGAAATTGTCATTTTCTTAGAAATGAATTTGACATAGTAAAACATTACTGTATCAAAGAATTTCACATACATTTTGTCCCGAGTGCTTTGTCCTGTGCCCTGCCTGTATTTTGACTGTTCTTTCTGCCTGGAAACTTAGAAAAGTCCATGGTGTCCAAAAAGTGTCCCTTTTGGTCAAAAGAGGTTTTAGACTGACTAGAGAACAGCGATAGTAAATCAGAACCACTTGCAGAATTGAGTGATAATGATTTGTGGGGAAATTCGTCATCAGACACTGAAAATGATTTTGCGACTTTGCTCAGCGATGTGCGAACTTGGCGCTATATTTCAAATTTCAGTGTTTTTGGTTTGATTATACTATTGAATTAAATTTATTATTATTATATTATTATTTTTATGATTATTTATTAAAAATTATAGTTTATGATTTTGTGTTTTAAGTTTCATCCTACCCGGAATGTTTACTAGACTCTTGTTCGGACAGATTTCAGTGAGTTATTCCTAAAAATTACAGGCCTACAATAAAAAAATACATATTTCCATGCAAAAAAATGTACCGCTTTGAGCACAGAAATATGGACATAATCAGACCGCTAGGAAGGTTAATGCATTCCCCGCATTAAGATAAAAAAAAACTTTCAATGCCAGCTCCCCACAGCTCCCCCCCCCCCCATTCTTACCTGTGCTTAACCACTTCCATACCGGGCACTTTTACCCCCTTCCTGCCCAGGCCAATTTTCAGGTTTCAGGGCTCTCACACTTTGATTGACATTTGAGCAGTCATGCAACATTATACCCAAACTAAAAGTTTAGCATTTTGTTCACACATTTAGAGCTTTCTTTTGGTGGTATTTAATCACCACTGGGGTTTTTTATTTTTTGCTAAATTAACAAAAAAAGACTGAAAATGTTGAAAAAAGTTTTTCTTTGTTTCTGCTATAAAAGTTTGCAAATAAATAATTGTTCTTCATAAATGTAGGCCGAGATGTATTCTGCTACATGTCTTTGGTGAAAATAACCCATATCAGTATTTATTATTTAGTCTGTAGGAAAGTTATAGAGTTCACAAATTATGGGATATATCTGAAAATTTATCAATCCTGAAGTACTGATAGCCAATCTAATTTCTTGAGGCCCAAAAATATCAGAACAGTACAGATATCCCCCAAATGACCCTTTTTTGCAACATATCCGACATATTTCATAAGAGGAATGGCGAGTTTTTTGAAGTTGTAATTTTTTGTCATAAATTTACAGAAAATGAAGAAATTAAAAAAATTATTTTCACAATTTTTACATACTGCCACCAGTGCAATAAAGCGTCAGCATATAACTGGTGTGGGGATGATCAGGGACACTGATTGGTGACAGTACGAAAAAAAAAATTGATCATTTATTTTAAATTGTTTTTTTTATTACATTTTTATCTCATTTTTTAAGATTTTTTTTTCATATTACACTATGACCAAAATAGTATAATGTTACCATAGTAACACTGTATTACTTTGGGGAAGTGATCAGAATTTTTTTTTTCTTACATAATTTGATTTCTTATAGCAAAGAATTTCTTTACTATAAACAAGCATTTAACTGAATTAAATTGATTAATTCAGGTTTTTTTTTGTTGTGATTAGCTGTGATTGGCCACGGCTAATCACATGACACAGATGGGCTGTGATTGGCCCAGCCTGTGCATGTGATCGCTGTGACCATTCACAGCTAGACACACTTGTATACAATGGATGGCATGAAAGGAAGCTGCTGTTATTAGACACAGCAGGTCACATGGTACTGGCAACAGGCCGGTATACAGATCTGTCATCAGCCGTGTCCGAGGTACACGGCCGGTGACAGATCTTGCCACAGCGCGGCCCTGTGGGCACATGCAAAGCGTGATCTGGGAAACATCATACGATGCCCTCCTGGATGGACGAGGTGTTCGCCCGGCCATCATCTGACAATAGGCAGGGCAGCAAGTGGTTAATTTCAAACCAGCCCTGTGGGCAGGGGGTGGGGCTGAGCTGCACTGTGTGTCTATATAGACCTCCACAGTACGGCTAGGAATTGAGCCCTCATGAGTAACCCCATAGCAAGCTGCCTGCTATGAGTGCACTCAGAGAAGAAGTGGAGCCAAGACTGCCAATGGGGGCCCCAGAAGACAGAAGAGGAGGATTTGTGCAAAAACATTGCAATATTGTTCTGCCTTTGCCATACTGTACAACTCACTTATGTTTTCTGCTACTCCAGTTTCTGCCTTTTTTTCTTTTGTTTATGAGCATTTTTGTAAAACTGAAAAACCTGTTAATACATTTTTCTTCTGATAAAAAATAAAGAAAAGGCATTTTTCATGTAGCTTCAGCAGCAACACATGTTTTTAAATTGAACAGTAATATACCCCTTTAACCAGCAGATAGAAATTGGCCAGTTGTTCTCTGAGGCTGTCCCTGATGCAAAACTGTTCTGCCACTGGTCCATTATTTTCAAGCTCTCATTAAGAATTAAGAGACCACAGATAATACAGCCATGTAAATTTAGCCAGTAGCTGGACACTTTTAATCAGGAAGAATTGGCAGAATAGGTGTTTTACTACAAAAATTAAATAACCACAGTTTAGACGTCAGTGCAAAATTGGCCAGCAGCAGATCATTTTAAACAGCAAAGCTAGGCCCAAATGTACTAGAGAAAAAGAGCACCATATGAGACTATGGGGTTGATTTACTAAGACTGGCGCATACAAAATCAGGTGCAGCTCTGCATAAAAACCAACCAGCTTCCAGGTTTTTTTTTCAAAGCTTAATTGAAAAGCCAAAGTAAGAATCTGATTGGCTACCATGTACAGCCGCACCAGATTTTGCACTCTCCCGTTTTATTAAATCAACCCCTATATGTAGTCACTGTCATTATCTAGGATCTTTGAGCCGCTTTGTTTACAAATAGAAGCCAGTAGGGAAGGAACTGTCATTTAGCAGTGATAGTTTTTTTGTCACTATAGATCTTTAAATGTCACTTTTCAGTTTAATGTTCAGGTTTAATGCATCCCCAAAGCATGTTGTCTAAAAGAATTGTATATTTTTAATGTTTCCCTTTAAGTTGTAGTATTAGCGCATGTCCCTCTTGGCAGTGCCCTGTCCCAGGACTTGGAAAAAAAACAGAAAAGAATTACAAGTTTGTCATAGACATACAACACAGCTTTTTTTTTTTTTGCTTGGTCACTGTCACTACACTTAAATATGCCCCTATCAGCAATAACCTAGGTATAAATGTTTAAAAAACTGAATGCTACCATAATATATCCTAAGCTGAAGCTAAATAGAGCAATTCATGCTTTTAAATTAAAGTACCTGAAAATGGATATGTTCAATATACCCCCCAGGTAACAAGTTGTGCTTTTCTAAAAGCAATAAGAATGCCCTGTGATCCCAGCCTAGTTTTGCAAAGAATGGCCGCTTTGTTTACTGCAACAATAAAATTGCTTTTAACTCCTTTTTCTCAGCCTATGAGATGATGTTCCTTTTCAGGTTCACTCAAAAGCGGGATCCCACGTAAAAAATTCCTCGTACTTGTATTAGCATGTCCCGCTTCAGCATGCCCTGTCACCAGCTGTATTCATTGGATACAAATGACAATCACTACAGCGGCACACCGCCAGTGTCAGTGTCATGTGTTCACTGTGACCAATCACAGCAGATCACATGACAGTTGTAGGCAATGAATGGCTTCTTTTCATGCCATTCATTCCTTACAAATATGCTGCTAGCTTTGATTGGTCACAGTGGTCACATGTGGAGACTGGGCCAATCACAGCTGATCCAAAAAACTACTGAATGAATCCTTCAATACAAATGCTTGCTTATACCAATGAAATTTGTTGATGTAAGCTATCATGATGTGTAAAGAAAAAAATCCTGTTCACTTGCCCAAAGTAGTACTGAAAGTAGAAAAAAAATGTAGTAAAATTTTGTAAATTATTTTTAAACAATGAAAAAACATTTTTTTTTTTAAACATACTGTCGCCAGTCAGTGTTCTTGATCACCGCCGCACCAGTTACATGATAATGCTGTACAGCATTGTGAATTTTTTTTTCCATTTCTTCATTTTCCTCAAAATTATGACAAAAAAAAGACAACTTAAAAAAACTCGCCATGCCTCTTGCTAAATACCTCAGACTGTCTAATTTCTGAAAAGCAGTCGTTTTGGGGGGTATTTGTACTGCCCTGGCATTTTTTTGGCCTCATGAAATGAGATAGGCCATCAGTACATCAGGATTTATCGATTTTTGGATATATACCATCATTTGTGGACTCTAACTTTCCTACCAATTTAATAGTAAACACTGATTTGGGTTATTTTCACTAAAGAAATGTAGCAGAATACATGTTGGCATAAATTTGTGTAGAAAGATTTTTTATTTGCAAAATATTATAACAGAAAGGAATAAAAATTCAATTTTTCCCCCAAATTTTTTCTCTGTTTTCATTTATAGCACAAAACATAAACAACCCAGTGGTGCTTAAATGCCAACAAAATAAATCTCTATTTGTGTGAAAAAAAATTATAAAAATTTCATATGGGTATAGTGTTGCATGACTGCACAATTGTCTTTCAAAGTGCGACAGCACTGAAAGGTGAAAATTGGATTGGGCAGGAAAGGGGCAAAAGTGCCCGGTAGGCAAGTGGTTAAAAAAAATGCTCTAATAACAACTCATATTGTGTACTTCCTGAAAATACATGAGCATAATCTATATTAAGGTTCCTCATTAAATAAGAACTAATTGTCAAAACAAAAACTACAAAATTATATATAAATAAAAGACATTTATATATCCAAGAGGTCATTCCACAGAATGTTGTAGCAGGAGCTTATGCAAATCCAGCTGAAAACATAACTAATATTTCAAAAATTCTAAAAATGCAGAGTAACTAAGTGAAGGTGACAATGGTATCAACAGTAATGATGCTAATCCAAGTAAGGAAGATTTGTGCATTTTTTACTATGCTCATCCTAATTTAGTTAACAATGCGCTTGGTACATTTGCCTATGAGTGAAGACAAGCATTCGTTGGGTGCTCCACTTCTGTCTGCAGAGATTGTTTAGATGACAGAGACGGGGGATGATTATTTCAGG